TTCTTTTTCTTTTTTTTTTTTTGAGACAGAGTCTCGCTCTGTCACCCAGGCTGGAGTGCAGCCGGGTGATCTTGGCTCACTGCAACCTCTGCCTCTTGGGTTGAAGCAATTCTCCTTCCTCAGTCTCCTGAGTAGCTGGGATTTCAGGCGTGCACCATGCCCAGCTAATTTGTGTATTTTTAGTAGAGATGCGGTTTCACCATGTTGACCAGGCTGGTCTTGAACTCCTGACTTCAGGTGATCTGCCTGCCTTGACCTTCCAGAGTGCTGGGACTACAGGCGTAAGCCCCTGCACCCTGCCTGTGTGTGTGTGTGTGTGTGTGTGTGTGTGTGTGTGTGTGTATGAGAAAAACAGAGTCTTGCTCTGTCACTTAGACTGGAGTGCAGTGGTACGATCATGGCTCACTGCAACCTTGACCTCCCTCCCTGGCTCAAGTGATCCTCCCACCTCAGCCTCCATAGTAGCTGGGACGAGAAGTGCATGCCACCAGGCCCAGCTAACTTTATTTTTTTTAGAGATAAGGTCTCACTGTGCTGCTCAGGCTGGTCTTGAACTCCTGGGCTCTCGGAATCTTCCTTTCTTGGCTCCCAAAGTAATGGGATTACAGGCATGAGTCACCTTGCTCAGCCTGATTTCTCTTGTTCTTCTAGTGAAGCCAAACCAAGAAGAACTCTATTTTGAATAATGAGAAATTGAAATTTGTAAAGAATATTCTGACAGTGGTTGAGAAATTACAATTTTTTTTCCCTGAACATCTTAAAAATTAGAATAATTTAAAAACTCTGTATTGGCCGGGCACGGTGCCTCTTGTCTGTAATCCCAGCACTTTGGGAGGCTGAGGTGGATGGATCACGAGGTCGGGAGTTCGAGTCCAACCTGGCCAATATGGTGAAACACCCCCCCCACACCCCCCCGTCTCTACTAAAAATACAAAAAAACTAGCCAGGCGTGTTGGCACATGCCTGTAGTCCCAGCTACTTGGGAGGCTGAGGTGGGAGAATCTCTTGGACCCAGGAGGCAGAGGTTGCAGTGAGCCGAGATTGCACCACTGTACTCCAACCTGGGCAATAGAGGGAGACTCTGTCTCAAAAAAAAAAAAAAAAATCTATATTACATTGTGACTCAAAGAGTTTTCTGGTAATGAGCTTTGTTCCTAGGATGGAAAAATCTGAGTGCACATTATAATAATGTTGCATGTTTATCTGTCTGAAACTTTATTAACAAAGTTTCAGATGATCATTTTACACTCCATTGACTACCCCAGTTCTGGTTGATGTGGTACAAACTAACCTATATTGTATTGTATTCTGTCTAATTTACAAGGGATTAAAACGATAAAATTGGCAGGAGTCAATAGCCGTTGAGATTTATATTCTTATATTTTGACTAAATGACATTCTTTTATGGAAAGTATTTAAAATTTCACACAAGGGGCAACAGTATTCTTTAAAAAGATACATTGCAAGAGATAGATCTTTGTGGTCTAGGAAATATTCATGCAAAGCACCAATGTTTTCCTTTATAACTACTTGTCATAAAAATAGAGAAGATTCCCTGTGGTTAAGGTTCTCAGATCTTTTTCAACCGTCTGATACTGTGAAGGAATAGAGAAGACCTATGTGGCCTGATTTTATTTGTAGACATGAGTTAGTCTGTTATACTATAGATGTCTTATTTTTTCTGAGGATGTGCATGCCACAATTTTTTTTTTTTGAGAGAGAGTCTTGCCCTGTCACCCAGGCTGGAATGCAATGGCACGATCTCGGATTACTGCAACCTTGACCTCCCCAGTTCAAGTGATTCTCATGTCTCACAATAGCTGGAACTACAGGCACATGCCACCGTGCCCAGCTAATTTGTTTGTTTGTTTGTTTGCTTATTTGTTTTTGAGATGGAGTCTCACTCTGTCGCCCAGGCTGGAGTGTAGTGGCACCATCTCGGCTCACTACAAGCTCCGCCTCCCGAGTTCACGCCGTTCTCCTGCCTCAGCCACCCTAGTATCTGGGACTACAGGCGCCTGCCACCGTGCCCAGCTAATATTTTTTTGTATTTTTAGTAGAGACGGGCTTTCACCGTGGTCTCAATCTCCTGACCTCGTGATCCGCCTACCTCGGCCTCCCAAAGTGCTGGAATTATAGGCATGAGCCACCGAGGCCGGCCCAATTTTTGTATTTTAATAGAGACGAGGTTTCACCATGTTGGCCAGATTGGTCTTGAACTCCTGGGCTCAACTGATCGGCCTGCCTTGGCTGCCCGAAGTGTTGGGATTATGGGCGTGAGCCACCACATCCGGCTCTTGGCACAAAATTTGTCTATCACTTATTAATAAATTGAGATAGGCAAAAAATTGTATCTGGGCCATACGTGGTAGGAGGTGAGGCAAGAGGATCACTTGGGGAGGTCCAGAAGTTTGTGACTAGCCTGGGCAATATGGCGAGACCTTGTCTCTACAAAAAATTTTAAAAATCAGCTGGGTGTGGTGGTATGTGCCATGGTCCCAGTTTCTTAGGAGGCTAAGCTGGAACTGTTGCTTGAGCATGGGAAATTGAGGCTGCAGTGAGCCATGATTGTGTCATTGCATTCCAGCCTGGGCAACAAAGTGAGTCCCTGTCTCAAAAAAAACAGAATTGAAAACTGACTTTTCTGATCTATTCCTGGAAAGCTATCTTTTTATAAAATCCCACCGACTACTATAATTTGCTGATTATTATGAGAGGCTTCTGCCACCGTGTGGCTTAATAATTCTGAAATAGTTGTTTGGACCCTTTCTCCTTAGATATTTAGTTTGATGATATCTATTTTGGCTGGTCAGAGAGGCTTGCTGTCTGCTTTGAAGTGAACAGAATGATTCAGTATATTTTTCATTAGTTTTGACTTACAGCTTAGCTATATTTCTATTTTTTTTGTAAATATCTTTGACAATTTATATTTCTTACAGGTAAAGCATTCTAAAATACTATTTCTTTTTGCCAAGGTTTTTGTACCTCTTTAGCAATAGAATAGTATTAAATTGTTGAGCTCTTCTTGTTTGTTATTTAAATCTTTGCTAAAATGTAGAGTAAATTCAATGAACTCCATGAGTTGCAGTGATACTTTGTGAATTTAAGATGATTACTTCCTGCATTTTATTTCTATTTTTAAATTTTTTATATTTTGAGACAGAGCCTCCCTTTGTTGCCCAGGGTGGAGTGCAATGGCATGGTGATGGCTTACTGTAGCTTTGACTTCCTGGGCTCAAATGATGCTCCCACCTCAGGACTGCCCGTCACCATCTGCCCCCAAGTAGCTGGAACCACACACATATACCACCATGCCCAGCTAATTCTTTTTGAGACAGAGTCTTGATGTCACCCAGACCGGAGTGTAGTCATGCAATCTCGGCTCACTGCATCCTCCCCCTCCTAGGCTTAAGCAATTCTCCTGCCTCAGCCTCTCGAGTAGCTGGGATTACAAGGCACACAACACCACACCTGGTTAATTTTTTTTTTTTT